CATGGACAAATTTCCCAAGAGGTAATGCTGCAGCCAGGCACAGAAGGGCACAGATGATCTGCTTCTAAGAACACAAAACAGAAAAGCAGGCAAAACTCAACCACTGTATTAGAAATCAAAACAGTGGCTATCCTTTGTGATGAGCTGCCTGAGGAGGCCATGAGAGGAAAAACAAGAGGAGCTCGTCACCTTGGAGCCAGACTAAAACCCCTCGGCAGCTGAGACGCAAGAATCCCAACACAAGACCAAGGTCTGTGGTAAAGGCTGCCAAAGGCTGAAGCCTGAATGCACAGGATGCTGAGTATCCCTCTCCCCAGCCGCTGCCAGAGGCTCTCAAACAAGATTTCACCTTATTTATGCAAAGACACCTTACCTTCCTGCATCCCGATGGGCTAGACTTTAACCTTATCAGCTGTAACCCCGTCAGATGCTCCTCAGGAACCACGTAATGAGAGGACAGAAACTGCAAACCCACCAAAATCCCAGCTATGACTTGTAAAAGCAGTGAGCTGGGCTCTCTCCTCCCTGAAGTCACAGCCACGCCTGGGTGTGTCCTGCTTTCCTATTTCTCATACCTAAGCCTATATAAAAATATTTTTAATAAAATATCCAAGGCTAGCCGGGCGGTGGTGGCCCACGCCTTTAATCCCAGCACTCGGGAGGCAGAGACAGGCGGATCTCTGTGAGTTCGAGGCCAGCCTGGACTACCAAGTGAGTTCCAGGAAAGGCGCAAAACTACACAGAGAAACCCTGTCTCGAAAAACCAAAAAAAAAAAAAAAAAAAAAAAAAAAATATCCAAGGCTAGTCCTGAAATTTTTTTTTTTTTTTAGCATCAAAACCATGGATGCTGATTTGGACCTGAGTCTGGGTCTCTAAAATTCAAGAACGCCTCAGGCTGCTGAGGTGCAGTGGGAAGCTCTGCCTCCTTTACCCCCAAATGCTGATGGGGTGAGGAAAGACTCAGGAGCACAGGACAAGTCGTTTCTTATTTTGAGGGCTGGCTCTGGTTATTGAAATTCATTGAACTACACATTGATAGTTTGCATACCTTTATGCTTGCATCTCAATGAGCAGTTGCCACAAAAATACACGGGAACTTAACCATATATAGAGTAGAAAAATATATTTAACTTTCAAGTCTTGAGTCAGATAAAAATGACTCAATAAAAACTCAATCCAGCCAGCTGTGGTGGTGCATGTACTTAATCCCAGTACTTATGGATCTCTGTGAGTTCCATGACAACGTAAGGCACTGCCTCAAGATAAAGCAAAAACAAACCAACAAAACTTCAATCAAACAAAAAGTAGGCGGGGAGAAAAAGGGATGGAGACTAGCAATAAATAAGAATAAACATGAGAAAAAAATAAGATAGTAGAAGTAAGCCCAAAATATCAATAGTCTATAAACATTGGCGGATTACAGCAGAGGCCAATGAGATGGTTCAGTGAGTAAAGGCACCTGCCACTAAATCTGCTGACCTGAGTTACCTCCCTAGGACACACGTGACAGGGGCAGTAACTGCTCTGACTAGGTGTCCTCTGACCTCCACATGAACATCCACATTCACACACACACACACACACGTAGACACACAAAGGAAATAAATATATAAGATAAAAACAAATATGTACACACCATATATATATATATATATATATATATATATATGACAAAAGCTGCCTATTGAAAGGCAGAAATATGCATCTGTCAAGATGGCTATATCAAGAGAAAGGGAAGGGCATGTAGTTAATGGGAATGTAAAATGAACAGACTTTATGGAAAACAGTGTGGTGAAGTCCCAAAAACTTAAAAAAAAAAAATTAGTGTATAAGCTAGTAATGCCAACTTCTATGTGTATTCATTTCCCGAAGGAATTGAAAACAGATTACTGAAGAGAGACATGTGCACCAATGGTCATTTACAGTAGCTAAAATGTCAAAGCAACATGTGTCCCCTGACAAAAGAGATGAACAGATAAACGCTGTGGGGCACACATAAAGGATGGAATATTACTTAGCCTTGAAAAGGAAGGAAACAGTGACAGGCACATGGTACAACATGGAGTCTTTGGGAAATCAAGCTAAAATAAAATAATCCGGTCCCTAAAACCCAGGTATCATATGAAATACCACATGAAGTACCTAAACCCAGTCACAGAGGCAGAAAGAGTGACAATTCTGGGGCTAAGGAAGGGATAATACGCTTTCAGTTTCCGTTTCCGAGATGGGTGGGCTCTAGAGACTGGCTGGGCCACAACATTAACCCTGGCACAGCAGGTGCCTAAGAACAGTACCCACTATGTTAAAGGTCACAAACTACAAAGTGCTATCTTCTCAGTAATACGGGAGACCAGAGACCCCCAAATCTCCCAGCTACAAAATCTTTCAAAAATGTTCTCTCTCTCTCTCTCTCTCTCTCTCTCTCTCTCTCTCTCTCTCTCTCTCTCTCTCTCTCTCAATTAGTTTAAATAAACATGGGGAAGCCCCAATCCAAGAATGCAGACAAAATAAAGGTGTCCTCAGATATTATCAACACAGTTTATCATGACTAGATGAGATTTTAAAACTGTGCTTGAAGGAGAAGGAAAACAGTGCTAAGGAGACCGTCTGTGGCGGAAAACAGGGTGGGGAATGTGGAGAATGACAGGTAGATAGCGTAAGCCTTGCTAAATGCGATGAACACTGACTGACAAGACCAGAGCAGCAGGCATGTCTAACCCAAGGGTTAGGGTGAAAACACAGTGCGCAGGCCATGGGTGAAACCAGACATCTCGGACCTGCTCAGCACAAGAGCCAAACGATGCTTTCAGTCCAAAAGGATCAGAGCTTGAACATAATAAATTCAAGTAAGTAGAGAGAAGCATAAGGTTTAGTAACAGAAATTAGTAACATCGGAAGATAAAAATCAGCAGCATCAATCAATAAATCCAAAACCCAATGCTTTGAAAGGATCGAGGAAAAAAAGAAAAAGCAATCATAAACCTGACCAATAAAAAGGAGGGAAGGTGGGCATGATCAATGTACATGATACACATGTGTGAAAACATAGGAAAGCCATTATTCTGTACAATTAATACATACTAACAAGAGGAAGAACAAGAGAAGCCACAAAGCATTAGTATTAATAAGAAAAAATAATATCGTATTTACATGAGTTTATCTGCTGAAAGTGAATAGGTACCAGGTGCAAACATATATTATCAATAATACTAATGATTTCCTGAGACAAGGGTATTAAAATGACTGCCGCAATAGGCCAGCTGTGAACGATCAATGCTTATGGGCACGAGAGAAAAGGTAGCTGGATGTTGGTATCAGCTTCCTAAAGTACCCAGTGGCAGCCCAGGAGGTCTGCAGGCAAATTCTGCCAGACTTTAAGGAACAGATCATTCTTCTGTTCCAAAGCACAGAAAATGATAGAAAGTTCCCAGCCGGTTCAGTGTGAACAGCACAAGCATAATAACAGGACAGGAAGAATCACCCACAGCACAGCCACTTACCAAACCTTAGGGAAATGTTAGCTTTGGGATCTATCAAACAAACCAAACATGCTTGGTATCTTGTTGTTGTTATTGTTGTGTGTGTGTGTGGGGGGGGTCCGGTGTTTCTGTTTGTCTTCAATTTTTTGTTGTTGTTATTGTTTGTTTTTTTGAGACAGGGTCTTGCCATGTAGCACAGGCTGGCCCCAAACTCATCCGTTTGACTCAGCCTGGAGTGCTGGAATTACAGGCATGAGCCACCATACATAGCTCCAAAAATTCATTTTTAAAGTATTACAGGATTCTAGTGAGAAGATCCAGCAAAATAATAATGTGTTAGCGATTTCTTTAAAGAAGGAAATCTACACGGCCATATCAATACATGCGGTACAAAAGCATGGAGGGGCACCCAATCAGGTATGAACAGAAATACACTTAACATAATAGAGTACACTTTCAGAAAATACGGGGGGGGGGGGGGGGGGGGACACACTTCCCTAAAACCAAACAAGGCAAAAACGTCCTATGGGGCTTCTTAACAAACAATAGTTTTCTACCTCGCACATCCGCAAATCAGGTTAAGAACTAGCATTAAAACTGATGCAGGCTTGAGAGGGGCCACCGTGTTGCCTCTAAAGATGCTCTCTTTGACCAAGTGTGGTGGCTCACTCCTGGAATCCCAGTGCTCAGGAGGTGGAGGGTGGGGAGTCGTTCAAGCCCAGTCTGAGCCACATAGCAATTTCAGGCCAACCAGAACTGCCTAGGGATACACTATCGCGAAAACAAAAATAAAATAACCGCGGTATAGTGGCTCATGTGAGTCCCAGGCCACTCAGAGATAGTTAGCAAGACCCTGTCTCAAAATAACCAATAAAGAAACTTGATGGCTTTGAGTTAATCATGCAAAGCTATTTCCCTTAGACTAGGGAATTGGGATTGACAAGCCTCTGCCCCCACCTTCTATCTCCGTCTTAAACGTTGAAAGAACAGTGTTTGAAACTGGATAACCAAATCTTATGACACCAAAAATTGATCAGAAGGGCTCGGTCGTGACTTCACTCAAAAACACTTTATCTCTCGCCTCCAGCCACCGCAGTTACTAATGGATACCCATGTCAACCAGTCCGACATAATTCATCCGATAGAGGGCAAAGAAGAGCACCTTCATGGGATTTTTTTTTTTTCTCAAAGCGTATACTGCTTATTATATAAACTTGCGTGGTGGCGTATGGTGCTCCCACAAAATCAAACTAAGATATTCAGAGTCAAACTTGTTTTAAAAAAAAAAATAAGCACATAAAACTAATTTTGTTCTAAGGGTATTAAGAAAAAGAGACCGGCACTGTTGCACTCACGCCAGGCTGCATATCGCTGGGACACGCACCAGCATCCACACAATTCCTCGCACTCCCAGGCGTCCTGGAGACCCGCAGCCCAAGCCCTAGGCGATCACCTGGACCGGACCAGGGCGCAGTGGATGCACACTGGGGGGCACCGGAGTCCGGCCGGCGCGCACGCACCTGTCCCGGAGGCGGGGGCTCCCCAGGGGCACAGCCGCCCGAGCCACCTGGCTCCAGTGCCAGGATGCTGCGCCAAAACCGAAGGGAGGGCCGGCCACCTGCGGTCCCCACCTGCAGCGCGATCCCTGCGCTGCGAGCCGCCTGGGTACCCAGGACCGCAGCGCGTCTTCCCAGGGGGGCACCCCGTGTCCCGGTGCCAGGACCCCTGCACCCGCGTCTTGACCGCCAGACCTGAGACAAGGCAGCTCAGGAACAGAGGAGCGGGCGGCCCATACCCAGACTCACCCGCCGTGGTTCACTCGCACCGGACTCCCGCGCCGCCGCAGCCCGCAGCTGCCGCGGCTTTCTGCGCTCACGGATGCTACCGGGGAAGGTCCCAACGATCCCGCCGGCGCCTTCCCGGTGGCCACCTCCAGGGGGCGCCCGCGTGCCAGCGCGAGGCTTCCTGGGAGATGTAGTCCAGGCGCCTCGGTTCTCGGTGAGGGTAGTTTCTTTCCTGCAGCATCCCCTGTGTTCTCGCCGGCTCAACCTCCACAGATGGGTCATCGATGATGGAACATCTCACTGGGAGAGACAGATCCCCTCTCCGCACTTCAGACCGTTGTTCTTAAAGCGGGGAGTAGAGGAGTGCTTCGGACCAACACTATCAGCGTAGTATGGGAGCTAGGTTAAAGTGCAGGGTCTTTATCTCACAGACTGTTGGGTTTTGGTTTGGGACAGTTTTTGCAGAGCTGGGTATGAAAACTAGGGCCTCATACATGCTAGATAAGCGTTCTACCACTGAGCTACTACACTCGCAGCACTATTTGGTTTTATTTATTTATTGTGGTTAAAAAACAACAACAACAACAACTCTGAAGGTGGGATCCAGCAATTTGCTTTTTTACATACAACCCCCCTTTCCTCCCCTCCCTCTCCTTCTCTTCTCCTCTCCTCCTCTCTTTCCCCTCCTCCCCTCTCCCCTCTTCTCTCTCTCTCTCTCTCTCTCTCTCTCTCTCTCTCTCTCTCTCTCTCTCTCTCTCTCTCTCTCTCTCTCTGCAGATACACTGCAAGGACCGTTTATATTCCAGCCCAGACCTCCACCTCACTTTAGCCCTCCTCCCCCCAAATCCCTAGGATATCTCAGAGACCCTGGAATTGAACAAGGTCAAGGATTGTCACTTCCCTCAACCTGTTTCTGCCCTGAGGTGGCATACCTTATGTCCAGGGGCTGAAGAACATCTTCCATATTTATTAACATAAAAGTCATCTAAGACTGTTAAATATGCATGGGCAGATGACAGGACCGTGAGTCATATTTGAGGTAGTGAGAATAAAACCTAGCCAAATCTTTTCAGATGAGGTGGTGAGGGGAAGAGAGGCCCTGGTAATAGAGGTGGAAAATGCCGTTCTAGGAGGGTTTTGTGGGTTGGGTTGGCCGTTGTCAGTGTTTTGCTTTGTTTTTATGGTGGGAGCAACTTCAGCATGTTAAAATATTTATGAAAAGAATACCATTGATGGACAGTCAGAAAAAGCTAATACTGCATGACTCCCCAGCAGACTGTGCATATATAAGAAGGAAAAAGTGAAGCCAGGTGTGGTGGTGTACACCTTTAATCCCAGCACTCAGGAGCAGAGGTAGGCAGATCTCTGTGAATTCAGGCCAGTCTGGTCTATAAAGCGAGTTCCAGAACAACCAAGGCTATTAAAGCCCAGTTGTGGAGTAGAATATTTGTTTAACTATGTAAAGATGTGTTGCATTTGTTTATGTTGCAGAATAATTGTTTTTAACTGTGTAAAGATGGGTTACATTTGTTTAATTATGTAAACGGGTGTTGCTTTTGTTTATCCCGCATTTGTTTAACTGTGTAAAGATGTGTTGCTTGCTCCTTTACCTTGCCTACCAAAGGCACCTGATTGGTCTAATAAAAAGCTAAACAGCCAATAGCTGGGCATAAGAGGGATAAGCAGGGCTGGCGGGCAGAGAGATGGGGGTCCAGCCTGCCAGAGGCCAGACAGACAGACCCTGAGGAAACAGGAAAGCAGGATGGATAGTATGTAGATGAAGTAAACCTGCCTCAGGGCAGCACATAGATTAATAGAAATGGGTTAATTTAAGTTGGGGGGGAGCTAGCTAGAAACAAGCCTAAACTAAGGCCAAGCATTAATAATTTTTAAAAAAGCCTCTGTATCATAATTTAGGGGCTGGCAGTCCAAGAAAGCACACTATAAAACCCTGGGTTGGATGGCAGCAGCCCCTGTGCTGTAAGACGAGGGAATCACAAAGGAAGGGAGATGATGGTTTCCTTTAGTAGAGGGGAGACAGTCAAAGGGGTTTTCTCTGGAAAAGAGGAGAGGATGTTATCTGTGAGAATGGTGTGTGTGTGTGTGTGTGTGTGTGTGTGTGTGTGTGTGTGTGTGTGTGAGAGAGAGAGAGAGAGAGAGAGAGAGAGAGAGAGAGAGAGAGAGAGAGAGAGATGCTGTAGAAAAAAAAAAAAGAAAAAACAAGCCAGAAAGGAATCCCTGGTAACACGGAATGTTGACAGTTCTCAGATCAGGCAGGGTGAATGGAGGGTGCTCTGGACTGGATGACTCTAAGCTACCCAGTCCATGGTACTTTTCTTATACAGCAACCAGACAGACAGTGAGATGGGTGATAAGCATGGAGTCGAGTTAGGTCCACCATGTACACTCTGTGAGTCCTCACACTTTCATGACAGGTGCCTCACACCCGAGCCATCTTTCCAATGCCTGCTTGCTTCTTATTAATTGAAGACAGCGATTACAGTAGTTGCCACTGCACATCTCTGTAGTGGGTAGCTGTTCTAGCTATGACCTTGAAGCACCACCCCTAGTGATGCTACCCCTAGGCAGCAGTACCATGGACTGGGTAGCTTAGACACTGGAGAGGGATTCTCAAGGGCCTCCAGGTGTTTAAGATCAAGGCTGACTTGGTATCTGTTGAAAGTTCCCTTTCTGATTAATTGGTAGTAACTTTTTGCTGGAGTTAGTTCTCTCCCTCCACGACGTGGCTCTCTGGGATCAAACTCAGGTCTTCAGGCATGGTAGCAAGCACATTTACACAGTAAGCGGTCTCCCTGGCTTTTGTTTTTACTTTTCAACAGGTTCTCACTGTATAGTTCTGACTGGCCTGGGGCTCCCTATGTAGACCAGGCTGACCTGGAACTACCTTTGCCTCCTGAGTGCTGGGAGTAAAGGTGTGTACCACAAGCCTGGCTCTAGGAGAGTCTAAAGCACACACACACACACACACACACACACACACACACACACACACACACACGGGAAGGGTGGCACACACCTGTTCTAATATGAAAGGAGAATGAAAGCCACTTGTTTTTTGTTTTGGTTTGTTTCTTTGTATGACAGAAGTATGCCATTGACTCTAGAACTAACCACCACCAGACAGTCAAAAAGAAAGTCATTGCTCATTCCACATTTGAATACCATTTTGAAAGTTATAAACAAAATACCAGCAACTGAATCAAGCAGCAGTATTTGAAAAGAGCTAGAGCATAGGTCAGTTTATTCTAGGAATGAATTGGATTTTTTTTATTAGGAATTAGTTGTAATTGGTACTCATTATTTTAGCATCAAAAAATCCCTTGTCAACTGGGTGGTGGTGGCGGCGCACGCTTTTAATCGCAGCATTTGGGAGGCAGAGCCAGATGGATCTCTGTGAGTTCGAGGCCAGACTGGTCTACAGAGTGAGATCCAGGACAGGCACCAAAACTACACAGAGAAACCCTGTCTTGAAAAAAAAAAAAAAAAAAAAAAAGAGCCGGGCAGTGGTGGCGCACACCTTTAATCCCAGCACTCGGGAGGCAGAGCCAGGCGGATCTCTGTGAGTTCAAGGCCAGCCTGGGCTACCAAGTGAGTTCCAGGAAAAGGCGCAAAGCTACACAGAGAAACCCTGTCTTGAAAAAACCAAAAAAAAAAAAAAAGAAAGAAAGAAAGAAAGAAAGAAAAAGAAAAAGAAAGAGAGAGAGAGAGAGAGAAAGAAAGAAAAGAAAAGAAAATCCCTGTCTTGGAGTACACAGAGACTGAAAATGGCCAGAGTGTGTCTTCTCAACCCCATCCTGGGGAGTGTGGTGAGTGTTTTGGTCCTAGGGCTTAGTGTTTTTATGAATAAAGGAGAGAGAGAGAGAGAGAGAGAGAGAGAGAGAGAGAGAGAGAGAGAGAATATGAGTGTGTGTGTGTGTGTGTGTGTGTGTGTGTGTGTGTGTACACATGGGGTGAATCCAAGGGCTGTGCATATTAGGCAAGTGCTCTTTCATTGAGCTATATCCCAAGTCCTGGATTTTTTGAGATACAGTCTCACAATGTAGCTAAAACTGACTTCAAACTCCTAATCCTCCTGCCTCAGCTTCCTGAATACTGGAGTTTCAGATGACTGCCACTGTAAATGTCTTGGTCTTCATTTATTGTTTGTTTACTTATTAGAAGATTTAATTTTAGTTGATTTGTTGACCAAGTCTTGCTGTGTAGCCTTGACTGGCCTGGACTGCTGTGGAATAATCCTTCTGTATACTGTGTGAATATATGATTGGTTTAATAAACAAGCTGACTGGCCAATAGCTGAACAGGATAAAATCAGGTGGGAAAGTCTGAGAATGATGGGATGAGGAAGGATGGAGTCACAGGAGTCTCCAGCCAGATGCAGAGGGAGCAGGAGATGAACATGCCATTGCTGATAAAGATAATGCCACATGGCAGAGGAATATGGGTTAACTTAAAATGTAAGAGCTAGTTAATAATAAGCCTGAGCTATCAGTCATGCACTGACAGTTAATATAAGCCTCTGTGTGGTAATTTGGAAATGGCTCCTGGGAGGGAAAACTCCCCTACACTGAACTTTATTATGGAGAGGAGGCTGGCCTCAAACTTGTGGTGATCCTCCTGCCTCTGTGTAAGTGTTACAGCTCTGAGGGGAAAGGCTTCCCCAATGAAAGTGTTACAGCTCTGAAGGGAAAGGTATCCTGGCAGTTGAGAGCCAAGGAATACCACAAAGTCACACCATACAACAAACCTCACACAAGGGATTTATTGAGAGGCAAAAACCCAGGATGATGGCTGTCTCTGCTTGGGCAAGAAGCAACAGAGAACCAAGCAGAAGACAGGGATTATATATAGAGGGTTTCTTGGGGGGGGTGACACTTTCCAGGGTGGGGACTAGTGGGTTTTCAAGTCCTGAACCTGGGCTTTTTACTCTAGAGAGTGGAGGTTGGC